GCGTAGCGTATGGACATGAACTCGGCAAATAAACAATATCTTACCAGATTTTGACTTTTGAGATTCCGTCTTTTTAGTGAAGGTGGTAATTAGTGAGCACTAAAAAGACTCAAAACGTAGAAATCAAAGTACTTTTATAAAACAGTTTTTAAGTTTTTAACCAATTATTGCTAATTGACTGAACCCAACCACTTTGGGTTCAGTCTTCAGTCACAGACTCACAGCCACGGAGGCGCAGAAGAGAGAGGAGATAAATCTTACGTGAGGAATTAAATGACGGTAATACCCATGTTAAGTTGGAAAAACTGCAGGGTCAGCCACACGGCATGTACGGAATTGGTATGTGAATATGATGTGTATGAGCAGGAAATTGCTGTTGAAACGTCTATTTTTGCCAACTTGTTGACGTATGATAGCGGAGAGAGGATTCCATACGTCAGGGCGAAAAGTGTCCATAAAAAACAACTCATTGCAAATAAAATAATAATGATAATAAAGAGCTTGGTTGGGCTTCTTGTCTATCATTTTTCACTTTGTTCTATTATAAGGCAGGAGGTGTTGATTAGAGGAATGGGTTGCTCTACATTATTGCTTTATAGGAGTTTGTCCTATCTTCAGTTTTTTAGGTTTTATTTCTCTTGCTGATTGCTTGCGTCTTGCGTTATAATCTAATTAAGCATTTATCAATGAATTTTGCTTTTTAAGGCCTAAAAAACAGAAACTATTTGATAACTGTTATACTTTATCATGAGCAAATAATAAATAAGTTTATTTAGCAATTAAGTAGGTCTTAATTGTAGATATATTGAATGGTCAATCCACTCAATGTCAAGTTGGTCGTAAGACATTCTTCATATTGAGGAGGTGAGAATTCAAAGAGTGGAAGATAAGATCTCTACATTGTATGGTAGTGAGACTCGTGCATCCGTCACTAACCCATTAATCCACTAATTAGGTCTAGTGTATAACACCACAGCATCAACACCTAAAAGGAAAAATGATATGTACTAGATGTTATTCTATTAACAATTACAGTATTTTGAGTCAGTTTTTTTTGGTATTTTGAGGGTACAAGTTGGGTACTAATTTGGATATAGGAACCTAATGTGTTTTTTCTTTTTCTTTTTCTATCGAGTAATACTTAAGGCTTATTTGTTTTTTGGATTTTGAGAGGGGAAAGTTGGTTAATGGGAACTAATGTTCTTTTTTTAGATTTATGTGGGGTTTATAAAAAATTTATTTTTTATGAGCACATCTCCCGGATGAATAACTTTCTCACCTGGGGAAAAAGAGTTGCCAACACTTATATGGGACAAAATTCCCCCTTCTAATAATGATTTATTATGACAAAAACAATCATTATTTTATTTACCTGAAAAATAAAGAATATGGATAAATATAAATATATTTATCCGGATATGTATTTCTTGAGAAATACTCAAGCAAACAAATTCTTAAGGAATTATTATATGTTATATAAAGTTGTTTTATGTTATACGTAAGGTTGCAGACAATTTCCGCTTGGAAGTTACCAAACACCATCTTAGCAAAGTACGTGATCAAACAAGGCCGCCCATTGACTTGAATTTAGCTAGTCTTTAATAAACTCATTCAATAATCGTCAGAAATGGGAGTCAAGAAGGACCCAGATCAAGTGGAATTCCACTCCTCAAGTTTGGTTTCAATATAATATCAGCCGAACCAGCTGGTATAATCTGATTTTTCATCTAATCCACTCCTCTAACTACCACATACTGCCAAAGTGCCAATGTAGCGTTCTAAGGTTTATTGGTTCGATTTGGGTTGTGGGTTTATGGCAGAACTAGTGGGTGTTTTAGTTGGACGAATCAATTTGTCAAAACCATTTCCTCTACAATCAGTGATTTAGAGGGGGTGGGAAAGGGTTCGATTATGATGCCAAAAAGATATAATACTGGAAAAATGTATAGTTAATTCATCGGAATCATAAAAATAGTAATCAATCAGGTGGATTTTCATAAAAATTTAAGGGGAGTTTTGATTGGTCAAATTCTTTCCGGCATCTTGTCCTTCCACCACCTAGATTTTTCTTTTGGGAAATCACTGATATTTCTATATAAACTTATTTAGTAGAAACAATGAACTCCAAATCTGTTACCCACAAACAATTCCTACATCTTTACTCACAGAACACCATCGTCCACTACCATGTATTGGGAACATCTTCCATGAATGGTAAAAAAGATATTCCCGATATATAGCCGTAATATCATGTGGTAGAGATGTGGGAACAACTTATGGATAACAGATCCGAGCCTGAAACAATGTTGATAACGTAATTTCTAAAAAAAAATCCCACAATTATCACAACATTATTGGGTTTGCATATTATTGGCATGGCGCCATATATATCACTGCCATGAAACCAGTTTGAGTGGACATCACCCAAAATCACAAAAATTGGGAGTGGCTGATTTTTAAGGAATCAATCTTATAATCAAATGAGATTTTTCATATGATTTAGGGAATCGATTGATGTGGTAACTTTATAAATTCAAATTCCATAAGCATAAATTTGAAATAGTCTAACTAAGAGTCTAAGAATGGTGATCATGTACATACGTCAAAATTTCAACTGTCTCATTCCACATCTCTCCTCAGACCCTCCTGATGTGTCGGTGGATGCTCTTATATTCTTTTTTTTAAAGATATCTCTCTTTTTTATATTTGATGTGTATATATTATTCTTTACAACCATACAAAAACGTCTTTTGTTTTCATGTATTAATATTTGCAGTTGTCAATGACTTAAAAGAAGCTCATCAAGCCAACAGAGAATTCTAAATAAATATATCCTACAAAGCAATTGCTAGAGAGAAGGAGAATATCTTTTCTATGTCCTTTCTAAAAGATAAACTTTCTTGCTCTAGGATTAAAAGAGTGAATTTGACACTCTGTGACCACCTATATTTATCACTGAAGGATGTAAAGAAAAAGGGAGAGGGAGAGAGTGACACTCTGTACCCTTTTTCTCTTAATTAGAATAACCTTTTTTCAAGTTCAAAAAAAAAAAAAGGAATAAAGTCATGTATTTTCTTCTTAAGTTGTTATCTCTAACTTTATTCCATAAGTGTCTTACTTTTCAATTGATTTCTCTGTGTTCTTCTGGTCTTGGTTCAAAGTATCGATATAAAAAATTCAGTGTTGAGAGTTTTTAAACATCGGTACTCTTCCATTAGTTTCAGTCTGTCCCTATTAGTCTACCACTATTACTAATCCTATTATTAAGCTTCAGTTTAGTAAGGCTCTGTTTGGCACATCTTTTCGTATAGTTTGTCGGTTATTTATAAGTTTGGTAGATCATGATTCAGTCTTTTTCCATTTGATTTGCAGCAGATTTAGCCACAAAAAATCGATGTACCGAAAAGATGTGAGAAGTTTAAATCGGGTGATTTTTCGAAAGCTCCAAATGGAGTTCTTATGTTTTTTTCTATTCATTATCGTGCAAAAAGATACACCTTAACCAAATGAACTTCAGACTACTCAAATCTTAATACAAAAGCTCAACCCATCTTTTGACTGGCAGAGCTAACAGACAATTTTCCTAAAAAAAACTTTCCAAACGGCCTCTAAGTCTTTTTTAAGAAGATCTTGTGACAGCCCTGATGGCCAAAAGAACTTTTCAGACTTCAGAGTGTTATTTTGAAGATCAAGACCGTTTGGTAACATCTACTGGGCTTTTAAAGCTTATATTTAAAGGCTATTTATCACATGAAAAGACCCAAAAACTTCCCTAAAATTCACCGATTTCAATGTTTTTAGGTCTTTATGGTTCCACGTCTTTTGATCTTCTTGATTTTTTATTACCAAACGACAAAAAAAGACTGAAAATCAGTCTTTTAAGCTTGCCAAAGCCTAAGAGACCATGAAGAAAGACACGCCAAACGCTGCCTAAATTAAGAGGCTAATTTACCATGGAACATGGAGATATATGCTTCTTTTTTATGGTATTTAAGTAGTTAGCAAGATTTGTTGAAAATTATTTCATCTCCATTTTGTATCAATTAAGCAAAAGGGCAGATCATACGATATGGGCCCACATTTGGGTTGTTTTGGGTAATATTTGTTTCTCATACAGAGCCTGAGACACCATACATGTCCTTTCTTGGGCCTTGGATTTCTAAAGTGCAATCCACCAAAAGGACGGTTCAGAAACCTGGTAATCAAGTACTGAACTACTGATGTCAGGTCCATTGATAGTTGTTATATGAGCCAGAGAGGGATAAAACCCAGAGTTGGGTGAGCCCAAAATAGAAGATCGTGAAGTGGGCCAACTTCATCAGTAGCAGCCTAGTAGAACATTCTTATCAACTTGTGGTTGTGGTCCATCCATTGCGTAAACCAACCGTGTTCCTTCTGAAACGGTTAATTTCATGTGGATGTGTGACCAGCAACCAGCATGAGGATATGTGATAGAGTTAAACAGATAAATAATAAACTAGTATTAAAGTACAATTATGGGCTAATGAACACTTGGATTAATATATGTTGGTAGGCGAGTAAGTGGTGAGAAGAAGCAGAGAAGGGAAACCTGCTATAATGAGTCAATGAGAAATTTGACTGATTACACTCCATCTGCTTGGAAGAGATTAAGTTCGGCTTGCCACCTGGCAACCTCATGACGTACCTTTCTTTTCTTCTTCTTCTCTCTAATAATAATATATCAAAAGAAGGCTTAAACCTTAAATTTTGACTAGAAAAGAAACAACTCAGACTCATTCATGGTTATGGAAGGCATCTCCTATGTTAAGTAATTAAGTTGAGTGGTTTCTCATTTATCTGATTCGATGAAAACAATACTCAGAGAGGTCTCCTTATTTTATTCCACATGAGCAATGCTTCTGTTCTAAGTATAAATGTCTAATAATGATCTTCTCCATGTGGTGCGCCTCTAAGCAAATTCCTTTTAATTTCCCAAGAAGCTAGATCAGTTTTCATTTCTCTGTTAAGTAATCCAGAAGAAAAAAAAAGCAATTAAGGAATCATATTGCAGTTGATCTAAACTTCACAATTTTGATCTTTAATTTCCATGGATCACAAAAAACAAATGGGACTCGTAACAGGAATTGAAGCCTAAAGATACAAGGACAAATTTGAGAAGAAAGACATGACTGTTATTCAGGTTAACAACTGATGAGAGAAAAGCAATAAGCCAATTACCAACCTAAAGATCACAGTTTTCCAAACACCCACGTCCTAAGCTCCAACCTTGAAACCGGCCGGCTCTTAGAATTAATGTTCATAACGTCAAGAGTCCCAACAACCCACAAAGCACCAAGACCAACACCCCCGCAACAGAATTCCGGCCGGCACTCGAAAAGAAAGGATCGAAAGGATAAAGGTTTCCAGGCGGACCCGTTATGTAGAAAAACGGAGGCGGCGGCGGTGGAGGGCAGTAACTTGAAGGAGTCGTCGGAGGGGGAGGCGGAGGTGGCGGAGGATGCTGGTTACATGGGTTCTCACAAGAGGAGCAGGCGGTACACTTGATTCCCAAATCAGGTGTCTGAGGCACTATGGTCTGGTCCACCTTCTCTGTGGAGCCGCCGACGGTGGCCGGAGGTGTGACTGCAACGATCACAAGAACCACCACTAGTAGCATTGCAGGAGACCGTCGACGTACAGGCCACGGCATCTCTGGTTAAAAGGACCCTCCTGCCTCCTGGTGGTGTTAGGTGATGTGGATCCAATGAATTTATGAAGGTGAGGAGGGAGAGAGGGTAATTCACTACTAGGAGAGGGCGAGAACGCCGAGAAGCAACATGGAAGGTTAAGCGTTTGGGCTACGTTATTATTCAGTTGCATGGAAGATAAGAAGGGGAAAGGCTGGACAGGCTTTTTGATTTTATGGATATCTTTCTATGGTTTTACGGTGGTGCCTGAAAGCGAAGCGCATGTGCATGATGTAGATGTTGAGGGCCCACTTACATCCTTTTCCAATTTCGGTCCTCTGATTTATCTTTATTTTATTTCTATTTTATTCCTCCAATTATTTTCCTGTTTTTAATATTTCGCTAATGGCACCGCAACTAAGCTTGCAAATGATGGCTCCACGTGTTGGAATCTCCTTTTCTAGATGGGTTTCAAATCATTGGATCGGAACATTTTACAGGGTAGGCGCAGGGGCTAGAGAGAAATGGACCTCCTGGTGGCGTCCACGTAGAGAAGACTATCCTCCTCGGTTCAAAACCGTCTGATTATAAGTTTTGATATCTATGATTGATGTGATAAGTTATTTTGGTAGAAAAAAATTCAGGTAATTTCTAATGGAAAAGTACGGATAGGTCAATGCAGATTTTTTATTTCCACTGTATAGTTATAAACATTAAAAAAAAGATCAAAAACACCATTTTATACACCAATCCCCATTCGTAAATTGGCATCACTCATAGGCGTATAAACGGATTGAATTCGAATCGAATCAGGCTTGATTCGAATTCAAAATTGATTATAAATACCGATATTTGAATTTGATTCGATATTCGATGAATATTAAATATTCGAATATGAATTCAAATATGATTCAAAGCAGATATCAATAGACACATTGTATACATTTTGAAGTGAGGTTTAAAGCAAGCACCATGACATTTCCTTACATATAAACATATACAATTCCATTTATACACCGATTTATTTACATTTAAATATAATGCCTCTAATTAAGAAATAGAATGGAACAACCACAAGTCTATAACCACTAACCAGGAGGAATAGGAGGAGAGATACACAGACAATTCCAATTCCAATGAGCGGGCCCATGATTGGATGGTTAAGAGGAAAATTACAATGCCATAATCATAGTTCTTCTTTATATATGGAAAGAACCTTATGTATGTAGCTGAAGCACCTGTACAAGTTCAAATTCTTCTCCTAGTTTGGAAAGATTATGAGAGGGAGTAAAAGTGAGAAGCTCAGATAGTGAACCAGCATTAAATAAATGAAAATCACTGTATATTTTTTCTAAACAGAATTCAAGAATCAAAATTTCCTTCTGTAAAATTAAGCAGATGGAGATAAAAGTAGTACCGATCAAAAAGACAGCAAATGCAATAAAAATAGCTCGAAATATGTGACCCAACCCAGCATATAGAGTCCTGACTTCTCTATTCAATCCTTTGCATAGAGTTGGCCTTGAAATACCAGCAAATATGAGTAAGTGAAAAAGAGGAACCATCAGCTCACATATTTCTTCAATGAAAAGCTTGTGGTTATGCACACCATTGTCTCCTATGCCCATTTAGGACCAGTAAAGCTATCTGAGGGAGACTCTTACCTATAGTAAACTCAAGCACCACAACCACCGCCATGACAGCCCAAATGGCATTTTGTCCAATTCCTTGAAAGAGTGGCTCCATCAGATACAATAGGGAGACTAGTGTCAATGTAAATCCAACTTTCAAAGAGTGAATGATTCTTCGTGGATCTTCTCGACCAACTGTCCATATCTTTTTCCACACCAAACCAGGCAATCTTCTCATCTTTGTCACGACATTTCCTAAATGCATCTGTTTCTTCACTTTTGGCTTTCTCCATTACTGTATCACTAGGGAGCACTTCTTGACAGAAAAACAAAACTATGGGCCTATGGTTTATGGCTGAAGCTAATTTCAGTATAGAAATCAGTTTTAATGGTTCTTGAAGGTGTTTGTTATTCAGTTCAGACAAGGCAATGTACTATGAAATAGGATGTAATAAACAAATTATGATTCTGCTGTGTCCAATGGGGACTGGGGACAAGAGAGTTTGGGCTGTTATGTGAATCCCCCCTCTCATCACTGAGAGGACTTGTGAGAAGACCACTAAGACGATTTGTAAGATTGTAATCACTATCTCATTAGAAAATGAGTTGAAAAATCTGAAAATTTTAGCATGGGTTCCCGGTGGTGGGCAAGTGTGAGTGTGTGACGGTGTGGGTTCCCGACAGCAGTTGTGGGTTGCAGCACAAGGCCAGTGATTTTGGACGGTTGATGCTTGAGGGTTGCTTGAGCTTGAGCAATGGCGAACGGGCGAAGGAGACAATGTTGAGTTTGAGCTATGGCCGGTGACCGGTGCTCGACCGCTACCACTGGCGCTGCCGCCGGTGATGGTGGTTGCTTGGGTGGCGAGTCACTGTCTCACTGAGACTCTGAGAGAAGAGAGATAGAAGTAAGAGGAAAGATGAGATGAGTGATGAGACGACGACGTCCGACGAAAGGCTGGTGGTTGCTCGGACGATAAGAGGAGGGGACTGTTGATGGGCCAATGGTGGTTGCTCGAGCGGCGTCTGACAACAGTGAAGGGAGTGACTGAGGGTTAGGGTTTTACTTTAGGGTTTTGAGAGGTCTGATAAGGAGGTTTGAGAGTTTGATTTTGAGAATATGAGATTTTCGAACTCAATCATTAGTTATTTTTCATTTTCTTTTTTTAACCTTTATAATATATATATATATATATATATATATATATATATATATATATATTATAATCGGTTCGGATATTTATCGATTGAATCAATATATATCCGAATTCGACCAAATATTTGATTCAATTATATCAAATCTCGGATTCAAATTCAGATTTTCAAATACCATTTACAGGCCTAATCACTCCAACTATACTTTGAGCCTAATATTCTGACTCTGGGCTGGTCGGTGATTCTTCCTAAAAGGTTTTACTTTACTGAAAGAACAGCCTTGTTTGTTTTCCTACGGACTACCAGATAAGGTGCCTGCCCAGATTTTAAAACGGGCAGAATTGGAAGGAATAAAGGGAATGATTAAAAAAGCTGAAAAGAGATCAAAAGAGGAGAAAAGGCCGTGTTTGGTTGTACCCAAAATTAAAGCAAATGAACAATATATATTGAATAGGACAAAGAATCGTGTTCTCAGTAATTTAATATTCTTGGTGTTCCACTTTAGCATGTAATGCCATTTCCCTACAACGGCATTCACTTCCAAATTCCAATCGCTACATCAGGGGAAAAAAAGAGAAGCTATTCATTACAGAGGGGTTTTCTGAATCATCAAAATGACTTTCTTATGGGGCGTTTTACAACATCAAAACCATTTTATTTGAAAATAGATTGTTTCCTAAAACAAAAACACAAAAAAAAAACATGTTTTTGATTGTAGGTGTGTTTTCTGTTTTCAAAGCTGAAACAGATAACATGTTTTGTTTTAGAAACCAATATGTTTTGTTTTAGAAACCAATATTTTATTGGTTCTAAAAATATGTGCTATTTTTTTTAAATAAAACAAAATTATTTTTCTTCTTAAAAACAAAAACAGAATTCAAGAATATATTTTTGATTTTTTTTTACTGATTTGATAATTCCAAAAACAAATGAAAATAAAAACATTCATGTTCATGTTGTAGAATGCCCCCTAACACCAAAATGATTTTATGAGATATGATAAAGTTGTTATAATGAAAAATATTATAAAAATAGAGTCAAAGCCTTTAAACACCCAATCAGCATGCATCTCCACCAAATGTTCTGTGCTTGAAAATTGATGGGATTTCCAAATATTTCATTTTCCTTCTGCTTTTTTTTTTTTTTTTGAAAATTTCCTTCAGATTTACATGCAATCAAACAAAGTCAAAGTTTATTTTATAATGTAGGCTGGACTAGTCACTCGTGGTATATTTTCGAATCGTCACTTTTGGTCTCAACTTTGAATTGGCTATCAACTATTTAGTTGTTTTCAACAAAATTGACCGCATTGATGTAGAGAATTATATATATATATTTTAATTGGCAAAATCTATGATGCAGATTGCAGAAACTTCAATGTGAAGCAAAAAAAATTGAACTAGATTGAAAAATTTAACACAAGTTCAATTAACCGTGTCAATGATCCTTAAATTGAAGTGGAGACCATTAGGAAGGAAATAAAATGAATAAAAAGAAATAAAAATTAAATAGTTTAGAAAAAATTCTAAATAATTATATCATTCATATATAATAATAAACATATTATAAATACATTTATAAAAAAAATTGAGATGACAATAAAGAATGTGTTGTGGCATTTTACCTCTTTTTTATAGATAAATAAATAAATAAATAAATATATATATATATATATATATATATATATATAAAGAGAGAGAGAGAGAGGTATGTGAATGTGGTTATTTTATTTTTCCTGTTTTGTCTAATAAAATAAGATAGTGGAATGGTGGACTATTAGTGTTGTTTCTTGTATGGTGTAACTTATTCTAATAAGAGATGGATATTGACTAATTAAGGCTGTTTTTGATTTGATAGAAAATAAGAGAGAAACAAAAAGTTGTTTTAAGGCTTATACTTTTGTGGTGTGAATTCCTTTTGCATTGGTGTAAATGCATAGGAATAAATAGGCTGGCTGTATAATTTTGGTTTACTTTTGCTTGTAGAGGTAAAAATGTAAAATTATGAGATTCTCATCATAAGAAGTGAGATAGAAGATTTGTGGTGTAATATATTTAGGCTGCCTTTTATTTTATTTGATTTAGAAGATTAAGTATATGTTTGGCATCGATGCTATAATTGAGAAAACAGTGCTGCTGATGTGTGGCTTGGAGCACCATTTTCTCAAAAAATGGTGCATTTATTTTTGTTTGGAATCATTGCTGCCAGGTAGGACGTTTCCTATAGCAACAACAACTTTTTCTATTTCGTACCATTACTCCAGAAAACGTTTTCAGCACTGGTACCCATTATCCAGTGCCACATAAGTGCCGCATCACTGTCTTGTTGGCAACAACGAGTTGCAGCTCTAGGAAACACCAAATTTGGCGTTGCTCCAAGCCATGGCTTCCCGATTTCCGAGGTGTGGCTTGGAGCACCATTTTTTATGGAAAA